GGTTATACAAATTTAAAGATATGACATATTGAAAAATTATATAATAAGTTTATACAAAATTAGATCTGAGTATTACATATATTCTTCGGGGTCCTGGTGCTGCCACCATCCGAAGACCCATATCTCAAGCCACCTGCTGTCGCCATTAGGTGAGCTATTCATATAGTTCCAGGTATTCATGTCATACACCACCAAATTAGGCTACTGCTCCTTTTATAATACTCCCTATCAGTATGGTATTACAGAAGTCTAGATCCTTAGGACAGGAGTTGAGTATCTCATTTAATTACTATCACAAGCCAGTAATCTGGAACCCACACTTCTGCTATGTTTTGTCATGTTTTCACGACTCCCATATAGGTTGTGCGACATATTACTCACTGGCCGACTTTATTTTTGTACTACCGGAGTGCTTGCTTCTATACTTTTCGGAGTTTCTTTTAACCAGTTTTCCTTGTTCATTGTACCAGAGGTATTCCATATTTGGTAAAGCCATTCTCTTACTATAGCTCCTTACTATGTTCACCGCTTCTCTCACCACTTCTGGAAATATTGTATACAGCCGTCCTCCCAATCAAGATCCCAATGTCGCCTTAGAGTTGTTGGTGCTACCTTGCCAATTATGAATTCACACGCATAGCCTTTTGCAATATTACTTTCTGTGACTCATGTCTATCGATGTAAACCAAACCCGTATGGGACAGTATTGACTTTCTACCTAATTTGGGTTTAGGAGTCGACCATTGTCGTAATCCCAAACTTAGTTCAAAACCCAAAATCGGTGCCCCTTCATAACTGCATATCCCAAACCCGTGAACCAATCAAAGCTGCATTTTTGGTGGCTTGATCTTTTACGTTTAACAATTAGAGTCAAATTTTTAACCTTATATTATTGCACTTAAATAAGCTAGCGAGAAATAATTATAAATTGTTCTGTTGGGCTTGGAAGTTGAGACGATTTTCCTATAACTATTAGGGCGATTATAAATAAACGGTAAGTGTGCTTTCTTTGTAGGCAGACGAATATTTATACCAAGGTACTAATTTAGTGAGTTTTTATATCTTAACACTAGTTGCCATATTGGTACAAAACTTTTTGTTAGCGATTATTTTTTAGCAACTGCGTTAAGGTTTCTAGCTATTTAGAAGTGTCTTTAAACAATTGTTACAAGCTTTGTTTTGTAAATTCTTATTATCCTAAAGTTATCTAGCACTTTTTCTGAAGAATATAAGTTTGTAATTGTTACGATGTATATATAAGTTTTAAATTTTAATAAAAAATTCATCTACTTTTTGATTCTTGTAATAAATTAATGAGAATCAATTATGGAAAATTTATCCGAAAATGATTCTGATACATCGCAGTCTAGTAGAGCTATTAAAAAACAAAAAAAAACAAATCTTCAAAAAATTACAGTAAACAAGGGTGGACGACCAAAAGCTCCTATTTGGAATGAATTTGATACTGGAGAATCTGATGGTAAAGGTCATTATGGCGCAAAGTGTCGATACTGTACTAAGGGAAAATGGCAACGGGGAAGGCCCGCAGCTTTGGAGGCATATCTAGCTTTACATTGTAAAGGTGAAGTTCCTGACAACATAAGGCAGCATTGGTTAATTCAAGTAGCAAGACGAAATGACAAAGTAAATAATGATGATAATGATAATGAAAGTGCGTCATCATCATCATCGTCGATGAAATCTAAGATTTCATATTCATGTTCCAAACCTATGTCAAGTGAAAGAATTAATGAAATTAACAAAGCATTACTTAAAGCTTTTGTTTGTGCTGGAATTCCATTTTCTGTAATTGATAACCCATTTGTTCGAGATCTTTTTTATCTGCTTGAATATTTTCCTCCTGGAAGAATTACCTTAGCAGAACGACTACTTGATGAGGAGGCTGCTCATATAACTGTACGAACTGATAATTTACTTGACAAGGCATATAATCTAACTTTAGGTATAAAAAAATTCAAATATAAAAAAATTAATATATTATATATAATTTATTTAATAATATATTTATTATTATTTTTTTTAACAAATAGCACTTGACGGATGGTCAAGCCCAACCAACGATTCATTATATAATTTTATTGTTTCTACCTCTGATAGAAAAGAATATTTATATTCTATCTTAGATTTTTCTGATGCAACACAAACTGGTGAATTTCTTGCTTCTAAAATTTCTAATATCGTTGATAAAATTGGTTCTGAAAAATTTATTGCTTGTGTAACTGATAATAGAAGTAATGCTCGTGTTGCTCGTGAAATTACTATGTTCAATTACTCTCATATTTGGAATATCAGATGTATCGCCCATGCATTGAACCTTATTGCAAGTAATATAGTTAAAATCAAGTCCGTTAATCAGGTTTTAAAACAAGCGAATCAAGTTGTTCAATTTTTTACTAAGTCACATAAAGCATGCAGGCTTCTTCACGATAATATAAAAAGTATGAAAATAGATGGTGGTGGCTTAGAAAAATATGTCGAAACAAGATGGGCTTCTGTTTTTGGAACTACATCTTCAATTATAAGATTAAAGCCTGTTTTTGATAAGGTAAATTAAAAATTAATATTAAACTATACACAATTAATACGTATACTTTTTTAAAAAAATTTATTTTTTTAGATTCTAGAAAACAATCGAGATATAATTAGTAAACCAGTTATTACAATATTAAATGATGATGATGATACATTTTATACAAACTGTCGTCGAATTGCATCTATAATTCAACCAATTAAAGAGGCCATACATAACTTAGAAGCACGTACTGCAAATCTTGCTGACTGTTTTATTAGTATAGTAAAAATAGCTGCAGCTATTAATCGAATTCCTATAAATAATCCTTTTCGTAAATCAGCTATTAGTATCTTTAATAAGCGTTATACTGAATTCGATATTGAACCATATCTACTTGCCTACTTTCTTCATCCGGGTTATAGAGGTATTATTTTCAAGCTTAAAACCAGTTTTACCTTTATAGTTTATTTTAAATTATTCTATTTGAGACGTACATATAACTAATTTTTTCCCAGGTTTTTTATTATTATTAGCTATATTATAAATATATGTATTCCAGATTGAAATTGTCCCGATTCAGAATCAGGCTGCTCTGAATGGGAATTTTATAAATTAATTTGGCAAAATTAGAACTTTAGAGTTAGCGTTAGGGTTAGAATTAGAGCTTAGAATAAACATTTTTATTTTTAGTTAGCATAATGTTGGCCAAAATTACAAAATTTTTATCTAAGACTGTCCTGATTCTGAATCGGGACAATTCCCATCTGGGGTACAACATACGTATATATATATATGTTCGCATATATTGTTATAGAATAATAAGACTTTTACCAAAACTTGAGAAGAGCAATCAATTAAAGTCATTAGAACTTAGTATACGTACACAAAAGAGTATGTATTTATTTATTATTCAATTTGTTATACGTATTAAAGAAAGAGATTGCTTATTAATTTTTTTTTATATATTTGACTTATTATTAATCAAATATATATTTAATACTAAATCTGATTACAATCAAATATCATATAGATCACATGTATATATAATGATTTGATCACATCGAATCTTCTAAGCTACGTGTATTCTTTTTTTTTTACTGATTAACGCAGTTGTTTACTCTATATTCTAGTGCTCTAATTTTTTTTAAACCTCTTGGCATAAATGCCTTAGGATTCTATATAGTGTGTATTAGCACTCTAATTCAATGCCATACGTTAAGTATATTGTATCTGACTCTACTATAACAATATATACGTTTATATATACTTGTATAACTTGTATTTGGTGCTTTTTTTCTATATAAAAGACATGCAGCTTTAATAAGACTTGTTTTGGTTAGCTATGTTTTAAACAAAAAACCTGGGTGAAATTATATATTTACGCATTAGTAGTACATATTTATTTTTTTCATATATGTATTAATATTGTCTTAATATATAGGTCTTGGTTTGCACAAGGGAATGTTTCAACAAATTTATGAAATTGCCACTAAATTCTACAAAAGTATCCACAATGATGAAGCCTCATGCAGACAGATGACAACACAACTAATTCATTATAAAAAGAATAATTATCCGTTTAATTTTAGATACGATTTTTCAAAATCACCCAGTCTATGGTGGGACGTAATTGAAGATGAAACTGATGATCTTCAAAATCTTGCTCAAATTATCTTTTCAATCATGCCTTCGCAAGCAAGTTGCGAGCGTAGTTTTTCTATTTTAAGATGGCTATATGGCATGTACCGCTCACGATTATCTCCTGAACGACTTGAAAACATGGCCAAAATTCACTCTTTTTATATTTCTAATCTTAAAAATGAACTTCAATTTTATGGAAAAGAGTTATCAGAGAGTGAGTTACGTGATAGTGCATTAGAACTAACAACCTATGCTAACGTAGAAAATAATAATACGGTTTTAGAACAAAATGATGTTTTAGAATCATTTCAATTTTCAAATAGTGAAAAATTAGAAATCGGATCAATGGTTGATTTGTCATATGAAAGTTTTGGTGGACAAGGTGATGTAGAAGTGTCTTATTCGGTAAAACAAGGAAGTGGTAATATGGATTTTGATCCTATAGCAATTGTAGAAAGTGAACTTCGATTAGCAAATATGTTATAAGCATATTCTAATATACCGGTATGTTCTATTTTTTTATAAAAGGTATGTTATTTTTAGTTGATATATATAACTTGATTTCTATTATTTATAAGTTCTAAGCTCCTCTAATAGCGATTTGTTTTTTCAGCAAGATATCAACTAAATACCATGGTAAATTTTGGGCGTATGTTTTTTTTTTTTTTTTTTACCATATTTGTAGTTATGTATAGCTCGCGAACTGAACCACAGCTATATATTGAATTAAATAGGCTTTAAATAATGTCATTTTACAATTTCCCTGTTTTTTCTTTTAAAAAACAAAATTTATTCATTATTTTAGATTTTATTATTTGAAAAAATATTTTACATTTTATGTGTAGAATTTTGTAGGCTTTCTTCGAATAAAATATAAGGTATTAAAGTAGATTCGTGGTCCTTATGCATTTTTTAATTAGGCCGTTAGTGCTATCCTTTTGTATAAATTATAAGTCAAATAAACAAAACACGGCGTTGCGTTATCTCGTGTAATTGGCCAATCAAATAATGTTACGTTTATAAGTTTCGACTAGTTCCAAATATAGTTTGGGTTATGACGAAATGCAGAATCCGGTAAAAACCTTTGGGATTCTACCTAAATCCCAAACTACCGGGTTTGGTTTACATCGTTAATTACAGAGTGTGATATATATATATTTTTTTAATTGAAATATAAATTTGGTTATAAAAAGATATTTTTTCTTAAATTTGACTACTTTTAAAAAAAGTTGTTAGAGGTAAGATTTAATATAATAGTTTAGTTATCACCCTTACCAAGTAGTAGATTTAGAGTTTGAATCTCACAAATAATGATTTCAAAAAATAGTTTATATTTAACAATAATTTTTATTAGTTAGATACTGAATTTAACTATAATATAGTATGGTATAATTATAAAAATAATCCAGTTTAAGCTTATAATCTATATATAACAGTAAGTACTATCTATTTGAATAGAACCTGTGATATGACTACAAGACTAGAGATTGAAGCTTGTTTGAAAAATTTTAAGTAAAAAATAATATAAACTTTTGATAGTACTACAAGAAAAACTTAAATTTGAAAGTGATAACTAAAATTAGAAAACCAAATAGAAAAAATCCTTAAGTAGGGAAATTCATCAACCAAACTGCTAGGTAGATATACTAGAGAAAAAAAACATATATTTTAAAAGTATATACTAAAAGAAGGTAAGTTAAAGATATTTAAAGCCAGACTAGGATCAACTCTTCTGGGTTGCTAGTTGGAAGTAATAATAAAGAATCTATAGAAAAGGTTAGAGTGAAAATGAACCTTGCAAAAGCAAGAGATAGATAGAGATAACTTCCAAGTATATAGATAAAGCCATAGTATAATATCTCTAAATTCTAATTTGAAAGTGATTTGAAACACAGAACAGATTGAAAAGCAAAGCTGCCACATTAACCAGAAGGTAATATACAAAAATATATCTAGTATCTAAGTAGCAACCAAGTATTGAGTTATTTCTATAAACAGTAAAAAGCAGTAGTCTTTGGTAGAAATATTCTAAATTTGTATAAATTCTTGTAATCCAATATATATATTATATTCAATAAAATCTAGTTGCCAAAAAAACTTAATACAAAAAAAAAAAAGTTGTTGGTTTAAAGATGCCCGCACTATAGCATTAAAAGTTCTAGATATCAGAATATATATTTTAAAGTATATGTTGTGCCCCAAATCCAATTAGATATCAATTTAGCTAAACACTCTGCCTAAATTAATTTGTTTAGTAATAATTTGGCCAATTGATATTCGGAACAAATTGAGTAAAAAACTATAGTGTTTAACAGCAGAGTAGCCTGAGAATTTTATCTATATTATCTATGAACTTTATCCATGGCCCGTTTAACCCGGTTGGGCCAATTTTTCCGTGACCCGTCAAGAAGCTAGATCAACCTGACCCGAGTAAGATTTCTACCCTAGATACTGTCCGTAGACTTATATGGATTTTATGTTATATCTTGTAATTGCACTGTCCCTAAGCATTGCGCCAGGGACCGGAAAAACATCGATTTTTGATTTGGCGAAAATATTTATCGATATGGTCTAAATCTACTTCGGTGCAATAAAAAATGTCGGTGAGGCAATTTTACCTATGGGCTTTTTAACTTTCATCTCAAAATGGCCCTAACCCTGATGTTTAATTAAATAAACGCTAAATTAGACAATTTTTCAAACTTTAACCTCCTTCCAAATTTGGTATATTCCCTGACTGATCCTTTTATATAAATTTCGTATTAACAATTAATAAACACACGTAGTACGTACATTTAGATGAAATACATAGATTTTTCGAAAGATTATAGAAAATACAAATCCATGAATATTTTTAAGTCGAAAATTCCTCGCATTCATATAACTCACGAGTTTTTATTCATTTAAAATATTGTACACAATCGAATAATTTCGAGTGTGTATTATTCATTTGAAATTGTCATCAATTGAATAAATTTTATTAAGCCATTCTAATTCATATATCTGGAGGCTCTTTGCAAGGTTTAAAATACATTGGCCTAACAATATTTATAATAAAATTAATATACCATCAATCGATAGAGAAACCATCTCATATATTACCTTTGTCTTTAATAAAATCTAACATACTTTTACCATTTTTCTCTTGAATTGTATTCTTTAAGCATTTCCACGTATAAATCTGCCAACTTTTTGCAATTCTTATAATGGTTAACTCCCTCGGTTTTGTAACATTTTATTAGCTGATTTCGAATTAATCGAATTTCCATTACTTTAATCCAGTATTCTCGAACTTGTTGTTCTCGTGCTGCTCTCACAGCTATGCAAATTATAAAATTATAATGGATTAATTGAATGCTATTTGTTTAACAATCGATGCTATTATAAAAATATAAATGAATTGGTAGGATTGGTGTTTTTGAAATCATTAGTTTAGTATATGCAAAGTGGCCGAAATGAATCAAAGTTTTTCGAGTAAAACTATCTGTATTCTATGGCATCAGTCTGGTAATATTAATGAAAAAATGAATACGATTCTAGCTTACAAGATAGTCTGAATTATTGTTGCAGGATCGGTGAGCATTTTGCTACCTACCTAAAAGTTTAAGAGATATTAAAGCTGGCATTCGTACCTTCCACGTCCGACTTATCTACTTCTTCCAAGGTAGGAACTTTTGGAAACTCTTTGTGGGTATATTCCCAGCTCGCCATTGTTTCTAAATTCACTGGTTTTTTTATCGTTATTAAAACTTTTAAGTTATAACGATTTCATCGCAAAGTTCATTTTTTAGAAAATCAGCGGCATTATAATCTTTTTAGGAAACAATCACGCGCTTCACGTGCTCTTGTTGATTTTTTATTTAATGTGCATTGATAGGAAAACTATTTGATAGACGTCTTGAACTATTAGCAGGTAATTTATTTTTTTCTCTTTAATTCATATTTCTTTAATTCATCCTTATTCTTATTTAATTCATTCATCAAATTAGCATGTTTTTCTTAAAAATAAAATTAAGGATTAACCCTCGTAATAAATCTATTAATTCAGAGCTATAATCTAAATTTATACCTTTCTTATTGGCTTTTAATAAATTCTTATTATCTGCTAAGAAGAATATATTGGCATTGGTCTTTTGGTAATAAATCATCTTATGTGAAGAGCGATCAATAAGAAAAGAGTAATTACGCATGTTAGGATGTTAGGTCTATTTAACAAATATTTAAAATTTTAGAATTATAATTGTATTTATTTACGGCGTTAGGTTTTAGACTCGATAATTCCGTGTTTAACACATCGATTTCTTGAATCTATATCGATATTAATTTTATAAATTAAAGATCTTATTTATAAAGACACGATGTGATAAATAAAAAAAGATACCTCTTTTTCAAGCTGAGCAATCTTATTTTTTAAAATCTGAATTTCTATATTGGACATATTTTTGAAATTTGAAAAATAAAAATAAAAATTCACTTCTACGTTGCATTATATATTTATTTCAGATTAGTGTGCCTGATTTGTATGGAAGTTAAAATCGTTGATGGTTACACTCATGCCAAGCAGCAAAGAAACGACGTAACGTAATTTGCAAATTACGGTATCACGTTTCGATCTGCATATATCTGATATTATTCTATATTATGACGTAAATGAGTGGTATTATTATTCGAAGCAATGCATCCTGCGAGCTAGGGACAAATGTTCTCTAACGCCAAACCTCAGGCAGCACCTTGGTGCACGTGGCCAGATCATCTTACAACCTCAACAGCCCTGAATTTTGGGAGTTTTGGAGGTTTCGTGCATAATCGGTGTATGCCACACGATATTAAATGGGAATTCGCGAACGCTTCAATACGTAAGCGCGTGCATTATATTAAATTTATACACGGAACGAGTTACTGTGTATCATGCAATAAACGCTATATCTTTCATTTTAGGTAGCAGCGAACCAGAAATTTATCAACTCACCCCACTTACTCAAACCTTTCCGCATACGCGTCGTTATAGCCCAGTAAACTTTGACGCCAATATAAAAGCTGCAAATGAATATGCAGCTCAATCCGTAATTATATCATTGTATTTCCTTTATAAAGTTATCACTGATCATTTGGAATGCAAATTAATTAATTTCATTACGGATATTTAGGCACAATTTCTGCAGAGCATTAATCCAGAATTTGATGTTCCGCAAGAATTTATGAAGGGAGTTTTTTTTAAAGAGGCTTACAACGATTATAAAAACGAAAAATATGATCCATATATGAGCAGCCAACTTATTTCAATTGGGAATTATGAAGACACAAAAAAGTTGAAAAAGTTTATCGCGTTTCCAATGGGTATTGCGGGGACAGACTTAAGTAATTAATCTTATTTGCGATAATCAATTTTTAAAAGATTGAAATTAATTGCTTACTTATGCCATCGTAATAAAGGCCTTATGCCTATATCAGAATCATTTGATAAAGAGCTCCGAGGTTCAGAATATGATATTGGACAACATAAACTTAATTTATCTGCAATGACTACGTTAAAATTTAAAACTCCAGTTAGACAAGTTACTTCATCCATTTCAGAGGAGTGGCAATTTAGATTTCAAAAGAATTCTAGAGTTACACCTTGTAAGGTCAATTTATGTATTGTTTAGTTCACCATATATCATGATATTTAGACATTTTTATTTATTACATTGTTTACGCAGCCTTATTAGCTGTTCGTACAGTGACTGGAACAACATTCTTCTGTATTATGAACGCCGAATCCAGCACTAATCAAGGGCCAATTAAACCCGTTGCATTAGATACTATATTGAATCATAGTACTAGAACTAGTTTTGAACACACGCACGTTGCTTTTAATCCAAAATTATATGGCGAAGCTGCAATCGTAGATTGTGGCGGTGGTGTATATGTATGGAGAGCAGAGAGACATGAAGCTCAAACCAAGTAAATTTTCAAAGCTTTTCACGATATAATTGTCGATTAAACATAGTTAGGCTCATGTAAAAACATATATCTCAATGTGTTCTAGAAGAATCAACAAATACGAAATTGAAACAATTAGGGACCCTCGAGTTCAAGAAGATGCACCATTAAAGGATTTATGGCGGACTTGCGAATATAGTGCACACCCTCAATGTCTTTATGTTGCATCACGTGAAAGAATTGACCTTTTTGATTTTAGGGTAACTTTATACTATTTCTTATTGGATCTTTGTAATAACAAATCTTTCGCTCAGGAGGTTTTTTTTTTCGATCTTATAGAATGCATGCAACACACAACCTCTCAATATGTTCAATATTATCGAAGGAGATCAAATATATGCATTTCAACATGTACCATTTCCTAATTCGTTTCAATCCATTGTAGTAACAAATAATAAAGTTATACTTTTGGATCAACGCTTTCCCAAAAGACCGCTTCTCTCATGGATTCATTATAATACCGATCTACCCGTCGGATTGAATACATTAGTGGACAAGCAGAGTACATAAAATACAGCTTTACGATGTGCATTGTATTTATTATTGATAGCATTTATTTAATTTCATTCTAAAATTGCAGCATCTACCATATTAACATGGTCAAAAAATCCGCCAAAGATAACAGCATTTCAGATTCCTACCTCCAAATCAGGATTAGTATCTGCGACGGGCTATCCTATTTTAATTCCATCATTTCACACGCACCCAACTTATTGTCGCTCAAAATATTTGAGAGTCCCTAATCCATCAAGACTATATAAAATAGCCGAAGAATTTATACAACCTCAAACACTACCGCCATTAGCGAGTGTACTTTTGCTACGTAATAATATCAGGGCGACTAATCCTAAAAATTTTGGTTCATGTTTCAGCGTGATACAGTTATCACAAACGGGAGCCTTATACTCTCAAATTTTTTATTCCCGGCTTCACACGTCCGTATTTCCGCAAGCGGACATGAATTTAAATAAAAAAGACATGCAAATTGTCGAAATGCCACCATCAACGGCAAGTTTACAACTTATTGCAGATCAAGATGTTGGAACTAATCCTGAACTACAACTTAAATGTTACCAAAAGTGGCCTTTTGAAAAAATATGGAACTGTGAGTACAATCATTACTCGTCGTTTGGTTTAAATTTAACTCTTAATTTCGACAAGCTTCTTATACATATTTTTTATCTTTGTTAAACGTATTTGGTTTACAAAGATGCTACTAGGGATTTTAAGTTATTTCACCACGATAATGAGACACCAACTGTTCTTGAAATTGGTGTTATGTTTCTATCATGGGAACATGTAGAGAAATATTTTGAAAAATATAGTCAAGAAATGGGATTTTGCTATCGTCAGAAATCAATAACAACGGATACAACTGGCATAGTGCGTACGATAAGTTATGTTTGTATAGAGGGTGCGATTTATGAACGTTCAAAACGCCTTAGAAAAATTGTACCATGCAAATGGGAAATTGCTCTTGATATGGCAAAGACTAATACCAATATATATGTAACCAAATTTAGCAACAAACATAATCACAAAACATTTTCTCCTATATTTCGTTCAAATTCAGCCAGGGAAACTGTTTTGTCTAACGATTATAAATATGATGTTATCCAAATTTTTTCACAAATGACCCAGAACAATGATATTCCGACATGGAAGAATTGTTTCCGCAACAAACTTGAAATGGTTGATAATTTTGGACACCCAATGACATTGTATCCTTTATTTCGTTTGATTGTTCAAAATTTTGATGGCTAGACAATATATGTTTTCTTAATTATAATGAACAGATATGAAATACTAAAAAATATGCCGGGTACACAATTAAAAGACCGATTAAAGATACCGTATGTTCAACAATTTGGCAATCTACATGTGACTGAAAAGGACAAAGTGGATATTTCGATAGATTGGACAAACGTTGATTTAGATGCAGTATTGGAACAATTGTCAATTGTTTCTGATAACTTTTGCTCGTCGTCTACAATTCCAAAAATATATGGGTTTCCTCATTTTATTGTCACTGACGATGATCAATATGTTAAAGTTAATGATATCCATGCTACTTTGCGAAATGCTTATCCACTACCTTTACGCAATCAAGGCAGAGAATCAAAGGCCAAGTTACAAAAGAAAATAAAAGATTTCTTGAATGGATCTTATAATCCAGAAACCAATGATAGAATTCAACATCTTCGTGAATTTGCAATAGAAGAACTTATCCGAGATCTCAGTTTCAGTTCTCACACTTTAGTATCGAAATATGAATATAATTCGAGATATTCTCTATCCTCAGATTTTCTTCCGATGTCGAAAGTGACACCAACCCTTGAAGCTTTTGAGCCCTTTTCAATAAAATGTGATATATCACGTAAAAGTAAAAATAAATCATTACAACTTGACAGATCATTTGAGCTTACCCCTACTGTACAGGCGTTGTTCGATGACTGGATTATTGGACAAGATGTTAAAGAATATGAATATCATTATCGACGTGTAAATGATAAATTCATTCAAGAAGCTATATCAACTACTTCCGGAGAATCTGATGGAGATCATTATCTAAGTATGCACACATCAGATGATCAAACGTCAGCATTTGAAACTGGTGTCGACAGTAACGAGGAGACTATTACAAAAAGATCAAGGAAAAGGTCACGAAAGTCTGGATTTTTATGAATCTTTGTATAGTCCTTAGTTATTCTCATAAAAGCTTCACGTAGAGAATTTTTAAAAAATATTGTAATTTAGATCATTGTGACAGTAGAATAAATCATGTTATCCTAAAATAGCCTTCTGCAGTTGCAAATGTCAAAATTTGGTATAATGTGCAGTGCGCACAAGCATACCAATACAGACCATGAATGCATCCATTATAATGATGCATAATTGCATGTGAACGATTTTAAGTGCTTTGACAAAAACTTTCAAGCAACTCGTATTTGATTATCTGTTTGGCTTCATGATAATTTGATATAGAAATGATGAGAACGAATTATAATATACAGTGCGTCAATCAGAAAACAGGATTTTTTCGTGCTTTATTTATTTATTTATTTATTTTTCTTTTTTCTTTTTCCCATGATATTAATCATTAAAAGTGCTTTATTCGTGAAGATGAAAATGATTGCTATATTTCCGATAAATGGACATTGTTCTATTCTCATTGTTAGGGTTATATTTGTTATTCTATACGTTTGAGAACAATATAGTATTGTGGCTTTCCTGGTACTTGGCATGTTATTTGTTCTCCTGAGCTATGGCTTGAGTGCCTTTGTTTTCATGTCAAATGTCAAAAAATGAGAAAATCGCAAATCTTACTTTGCCTATCGTTGTTGTGTAATGTCCACGATACGTATGTTACACACCACGTTACTCTTAGAGAATCACTATATTGTTTTGTTTTGAATTTTGGACACGTGTGCGTCAGTCTTTGCTAAAAACTCAACCTGAATTTGAAACAATGATGAAAGTCGATAATATAGATTACGCAGCATGTTGTCATAACATCACCATGTTAATAAAAACGATTGTGAATATCTTGAATTTCCACAATTTGGCGGTCTATCTTGTTTCTTATGTAAACATATATATATGGATCACAGATCAATTCAAATGTAAGTCCATGAGTCTTTATGTCCATTCACAAAGAGAAACCATTATTCGCGTAATGCAGCATAAGTCTACCTGCCATCCAGATTTCCGGTTGTAATATGCAAAATTCGCCTCTTTTTTCCTTTCCTTTTTTTATGCATGGTGGCAGGGATCTTAAGTACGTACGTACGTACGTACATACGTCCGTACGTACGTACATACGTCCGTACATATGTTCGTATCCGGTATTTTGTTATTTACCGTATCATTTATATCATTTATTTAAATTTATTTATTTATTTAAAAAAATAATGATCAATTGCGCTCGGGTAACTATTTCAAAACTGTAACGGTAATACGTAATATCAGATTTTAGAAATTTCACGTTCAAATATGGTAAGTGGCATGGCAGGTCTGCATATACGTAATAGTAGCATTTTTTTTAATTGCTTATTTTGGAATTTCAGACCCTTGTCTTTTTGCAGCATTGTTTGTTCTCTTTAAATAGTGTGACTAACGGGCTGGCTTAACTGAATGCCTTGGATTTTCAGATGGTCTTTAAGAATCTACTTACTTTTACATTATTAAATATAAAATCAAATTTTCACATGCAAAAAAATAATTGAATAATATAAATTTTTTTTTTTTTTTTACTTGTTTACTGAATTTATATTTGTGCTTCGCGGCGAATATCATAATCAATTCAAACTTTATTTTTACATTATTAATACACTTTTTTTTTAGCATAAATATCGATATAAATTTCATCAAGTTTCTTATGTTGATTCGTAACAACTTAACCCCTCCTCATTAATGTCTTTCGCAATCATTCGCTCTTGTTTCGCTTTTTGAGACAAACGATTTTTATACGAGGTCGGTAATTCATCAATTCTCGAACCATAAATGTTTTTAACTAATCAGACGTATTCTTTATTATATATGATTATAGCAAAATAAATAATCATTCGCTTTAACGAATTTCCAAAAACTACATCTCAAAGCAAACATTAAATCAATCTATATTACCGTCCTCGAAGAGTTTTTTTTACGACGTCGAATTAAAAAATAAACCTTTACGATTCTAAATCATATCGAATGGGTATCATTTCATATGTTGGTAGTTTCTTTTCCTCCCCACCGCCAAATCAAAAATTTGCGGATCGTTATGTACTTGTTACTGGTTGTGATTCCGGTATCGGAAATTTGATTGCAAAGGCGCTGCATAGGAGGGGTTACTCTGTGCTCGCAGGTAAAAAAAAAAATAGTTATATATAATATATATATTATTATATATTATATATGTAATATATATATATATTCCTATACTATGCCTGTATTATGAAATTTTCAAGTCTGTTCATAATTCTTTTTTTTTTTCATCATATTAGGATGTCTCACTGAGGCAGCTTTTAAAGAATTTCTGGAATTTAATGAACTTCATTCTACTACCAACCTCCGACCTTTTTTAGTTGATGTCACGAAGGACGCTTCCGTTCAACAATGCGCCCGCATGGTCGTTAATGAAACAAAGGAAAAAGGCCTTTTTGCCTTGATTAATAATGCTGGGTGTAATGAAGGTTTCGCTTTTGAATTTACTTCGAATGATCAAATTGCAAAAACTATGGAAGTAAATTTTATAGGACCCATCAAAATTATTAAGGCATTGCTACCTAGTTTACGACAAAACATCAAATATAACCTTAAAAAACCTGCCAAAGAACAGGATATATTTCCACGTATTATCAATATGACTTCCATATTAGGTAGAACTACCGTACCTTTCTATGGCGCGTACAGTGCATCAAAACACGCCTTAGAAGCCATGTTAGATACAATTCGAATTGAATTATTACCTTGGAAGATTCACATTACCATGATTGAGGCGGTCCCTATCAAAAGCAGATTTAGTCATCCGGACCTTGTCGAAGTATCAAAGAAATTTTTTGCATCCCCTGAAGTTACTGAACAAACTCTTACTCTTTACGGCGAGGATTATGTTCAAAAAGCTATCGAGTTTTGGCAGAAGCTCCATTCTGGCCAGGATAGCCCAAAAGCTATAGTTAGAACCGTTGTTGAAGCAATCGAAGTTGGCTTTCCTAAGGATCGTTATGTAGTCGGAACTCTTGCCAAGGTTCATGTTTTAATGAACAACGTCTTACCTAGATGGGTTATTGACTTAGCCTGGGGCAGTATGATTAGGTTAGTTGGTGTTTGGCCAAAAGAGGTAAAAGAATTGGAAGATGGTGTTTCCGAGAACACTTCTACTTCATCTAACTCTTCGTCTACAACTCCACCATCTTCACCAAAAGATTAACGGAGATCATTATTTAATTTCGTTATTATTTTCGATTTCATACTATTTTCGTAAAATCTCGTTATTTTCTTTCTTATTATGAAAAACTTTAAAAATATCTTTAAAATATAATATTACATTTATTGATATCGATATCATATGCATAAGTTTTTACGTATCACACATATCTGGTATTTGTGTTTCTAAGTTGACATGTAAACAGAATATCGATTTTAATATTTTATTATTTAAAATGATTTTTTGGAACTTCCCCTGTAATTTATTATTATTTTTATGATAACACTTTTAGTTGAATTGTTCATGCAAAAAAGAAAAGAAACATACAGAATTCAGATCTATAAAATATATAGGAATTTTTTGCTGCAAATTTTAAGATATGATACATATTTTCTATGATGTTTTTTTTATGTGTCTGTAATTAAATTGGTAATTTATACGTATATCAATATATTTTTATCCTAAATATTTTTCGAAATGATTAAAAAATGTAAATACCAGTAAATGATTATAACAGAGTTTTGCATGGAATTCCATATTATGTACAGTTCGTAATCGCCGTTTAAAATTTGACCCAAGTTTTGAGCGTTGTTTCAATTAACATGAAACTTACGCAAGATCACGATCTTATTTATTCGAATTTATTCAAAGAATTTACTTAGTATGTAAAATGTGCGACTTCTGTTTAGAAAATATGTATATTTGTATAATTATTATCGGTGAATGAATTCAAGCTTCGTACGATGTACCTGATTTTGGTGGTGATACTAGGTGGGTTTTATGTACAGTAGCCGCGGAAGTTAACTGAAAAATATAGATTATTTTCACAGGAGTTCTGTAATATAAAATTTGATGCGTTTACGTGCATATATATGTTATATATGTTGTGCCTCAGATTAATGCTTGCGTCAGATGTCAACTTTTTGGCCCGCATTAACTGATCGATATTGATTGACTTAAATTAAGCCCAAATCCTTCCCAGATTCTTACCCTAACCCTAATCTAACTTAGGCCGGTTTTAATCTGACGCAAGAATTGATCTGAGGCACGACATATATACTGTATTTTAATAATAGTTTGTTTTTACCTACTTGTGTTAAATACTATTTAAACTAAAAAAAATTTTTTTTATTAATTAGGCCAAACATACTAAATTTAGTATGCAAAAAAAAAAAAATTTAAAAATTAAATGTAAAGTTAACTTTATTCAAACTTTTAAAAAATATTTTTTAAATCAAACTTAATTCATAATCCATATAAGAAGAGTAGGATTTTATAAATTACGAAAGTATAATTTACTATGTTTTTTATATAAGAATGAAATCTTATTTTTTTTCACACTTATAAAATTTTAAATAGTTACAAAAAATATATATATAAATATCTTCTCATCTACTTAACTAATTTTAATAATTTTTATATATATTATATATATTTGGTATTAAGGTAACTTCTTTGGCCTAATGCCATTTTATTAACAGTTTATATTGATATAGTTACAGTGCTTTTGGCACTATCTACACTAGATGTTTATACCTGCAGCCCAAACTAGAACTACTCATTTAAACCCTCTGATTATAACCATTTACAACACTACCCTGGTAATCCATGTGCTAATATTTGTTAGTCACACTAGAATTAGAGGTCTTGCCTTAGAACACCTGTGCTTTATCATGGGTTTTGCACTAACTAATTACTGGCTTGCATTCCTCTGATAAGCAAATGTATAGGTATTCTCAAGGTAAACCTACTAGAGCTTTCCATACCCCATTCC